CCCCAGCCCCCCGCCTGCCTCCCCGCCACCCCCTCACCTTGCGCAGGTCCTGCTCCAGCGCCTGCTGCAGAAGCTGCCTGTTGTCCCGCAGGAAGCAGCCCAGGGCCTTGAGCTGGGCAGCCCGGAACTCGGCCGGCCGCGTCAGCCCCGAGCTGAAGGCCTCCCGCAGTCGCCGCAGAGTGTCCTCGAAGGGGTCCATCCTGCAGGGGGTGGGGGCGCGTCGTGGACCGGGACTCCCCCACCTTCTCGGCACCCACCCCCGCCTGCCTGCACCCAGTGGGCCCACAGACATCCCTATGGAATTCCTGTGTAACCCCAGAGGCCCAGGGCTGGCCATACACCCACACCTACATACCCCCCCCACACGCACACACACGTGCACACTTACACACACACATACACACCCACACCCCCCACACATGCACACACACACCTACACACACACGCACAGGCCCACAGACATCCCCACAGGGACTCACGTGTAACCTCAGTGGGCCAGGGACGGCTCTGCATGCGCCCAACACACACGCCCCACCCATATCACTGTCTGAGGCTCCCTAGAGCCCCTCCTAGGCTTAATGCCTCGGCCTTGAATCAAATTCAAGACCAGGGAGGAGGAGTCTGCGAAGGGCAATGGTTCCTTGGCATCCTGATGCCCATCCCAGGACCGTGGGCAGCTCAGTCATACGTTTCCCAAGTGAGACAGGTGAGGTGGGGCTTCCCTGCCTTTCTTAACTGTCGTCCATTGTCTGTGTTCTTGCTGTGCACACCTGAAGTGCCTGGGGACAGCCTCTGGCTCCGCTTGTCCATGTCCGGTCCCCAGGCCCAGCCCCATTGTTGCCAAGTAAAATGAGGAAGCAGACCCCTGGGTAGGGACTGAGGTCAACAGTGTCCCCAGCTGGCTCTAGCTGCTCATCTAAAGTGCTTCCTTGCCTTGCCCGCTCACTGCAGGGGAACGGGGGACCCAGGGCTTCTGAGGGGGTCTGACTAGGGACTCCTGTCGGCCTACTAGGCAGGCGCTGGCTGGACCCGCACCACAGACGTGGCCAGCCCTTGCGGTCTAGACAGAGGGGTAATGACACCGAATCCAAGACACACATGAATGGGCCCACAGACATTCCCACTGGGACTCCCGTGCCACAGGCTCCGTGACAGGCCGGTCAGGGACCCCGAGTCCAACGGGCTCGCACTGCAGTGGGGGAGGGGCAGGTGTCCTGGGCAGAGGGCACCACATCTGCAGAGGCCCCGTGACGGCAGATCTTGAGAAAAAAGATGCAGCCAGGCAAGGTCAACGGCCTGACCAAGCCCTCACTAGGGAGTCGGAGCTTGTCCTGGGGGCTCTGAGCTGGCGGCGGGGGCTGAGCATGGGGCATGCGCCATCTCATGTGGGCCTTGCGATCTTATCGGCACTGCATCGAAAGAATGAAGAAACCGAGGCTCTGAGAGGTGACCTCATCTGCTCTCCTCACAGCTGCCGGGCGGTAGGCTCCGGGTGGCCCCGCAGCCCCTCTCCCGCCAGCTCCGCCACCCCAAGCCAGGGGGCGCCTGCACTTCTAATCCACTTCTCAGCATCTTTCTGCAGTTTCCAGAGAAAGGAACTGTGAGTGTCATGTTTACAACCTGAAACCAGACTCAGTTCTGGCTTCACCTCCCAAGATGCAACTCTGTCCCCTCTCCCAACTCCCTAGCACAGCCTCGGTGACAGCTGCCTGGTCCCTGTTTGTCCCTGCCTCCTCCCCCAGCCCAGGAGCCCGTTGAGGGAGTACCGTGTCTGTCCTCATGCCTGGAGCTAGGCCAGCACAGGGCCAGGACGGAAGGTTCCTCTGAGGATACTCCCAGGCATCACCAGGGGGAAAAGTGAGACCTCAAGACAACCGTGAGGACACATGGCACAGTCAGGGCAGGACGGCACCCAGCCACCTGCAAGGAGCCAGGCCCCGGCCGTGGCCCCTGTCCCGTGGCCCCACATCCCATTCTCCCCGTGCTGCTGCCCCCTCCGCCCCAGCGCCTTATACCCTGCGGCCCCTCCGCCCCAGGCCCTCGCCCCCACGGCTCCACGCACCCCAGTGTGGGATCCGTCCTCGAATCCTTCACCAAGCCTTTGCCCGCTTTGCACGACATTCTGCCTCCGGGTGCGCCGACTCTGCTTCTGCCCGTCTTGCCGCCACCAGACTCCCTGTACCCATACGAAGCAGTGGAGTGGCGCGGGGACGACCCAGCAGAACCACCAAGTCAGGCCAGTCACCATCTGGTTCAGACGCCCACACTTCTGAGGCGGCCACACCCCACCCTGGAACAAGTCTGGCAACTCCAGACTGGCAGGAGTCATCTGGTGAGCAGTAAAATCCAAGGGCTGGGGTGGAGTGAGAGGCTGAGAATGTCATCGGGGCCAGTGTTATTGTCTCGTCTATTCTTGCATCTTCCCATGTGCTAGCTGAGGGCCACCGCTGCCTCCTCCGGGAAGCCCTCAGCTAGCACAGCTCCGCAGCCTCCCACCCTCCCAGGTCACCGCACCACGTCTCCCGTGCACCCCACCCCGCCCCCACACCCCCACCACAGGACTCCTTCCTTTGTACCATCCTAATGCGCCTGCCTGGCATCAGGCGGAGGACGGAGCCTGATGGGCTGGGGCACCTGCGGCTGCAGCCAGGGTGTCGGTCCTTTCTTTTTTTATTTTCCCATATACCGTGTGACCCTGGGCAAGTTGCTTAAGCTCCCTGAGTCTCTCTGAGATAACGACAGTGCTTCGTTGTCTTAGTTCTTGAGAGGATCACATGGGAAGATGCAAGAATAGACGAGACAATAACACTGGCTATTAACAAGTGTTTCTCAAGCACCTGCTGGGTTCTGAAAAGGACAGCAGTTCCGGGCAGAGCACGTGAGAACCTGTGCGCCCCCGAATGAGGTTCTCCTTGGGGTGTGACTGGAGCCAGCCCAGCGGGAGCGCCAGCCCACCGCAAACCCAGGAGCTTCGGATGTGGGTGGCGACAGGGCAGTCAGGACAGGGGGTGGGGGTGGGTGACCGAGGAAGCCTGGCACCCCCAGCCCCTGGATTATGCATTTCAAATGGGTCAATTCTATCTCAATATAGCTGTGAAAATGAAAACAAAACGAAACAAAACAGAAAACCGAACCCATAAGAAGCCTGAAGAGCCCATAAGCAAATGAAAATATGTTCGACTTCCAAGCATTGGTAAAATGTAACATAAAACAATTGCGAGACGCCTGTGTCTACCCATTGTATGACTTTCCTGGTGCTGTCATAGCAAATGACGACAGACGCGGTGGCCGAGGACAACAGCAATGTGCTGTCTCACTGCCTTGGAGGCCGAAAGTCCAAGATCGAAGGGCCGGCTCAGCTCTGCTCTCTCCTGAGGCTCTAGGGCATGTCGACTTGAAAAACAGAAGTCAGTTATGTCCCAATAAAAACGGGTTTATTCAGGAACAGTGAAGAATTGCACTTCGGGACAGGCAAGCCAGAGTAAGAGCCATTCCGGCTGACAGAGAGAAACACTATTTTATGGAGAAAATAATTTAATGCGGCCTTAAAGTAGGGATAAGGTAGCATCGAGACCACCAGGACAGCAGAGCGACTGAACCCAGGCAAGGTCCCTATATAACATCTAAGATTTGGCAGGTAGGGGTGGAGATGCCTCGTGGCCACCCGAGACAAGCCTGGCACGTTTCTTGGTCATTGAAACAGCCATCCACCCATCTGGAGCAGTCTGCCTCGTTTTTCGGCGGCTCCCTGCCCTCTGTGCAGGTGGCGGGTCCCGGGTCACACCGGGAAGCAGCCCAGGAGGTTCTAAACCCACATCTGCCATCACTGGACATTACCTAGGATCGCCTTGCGCGTTTTTAAACCTCACGCCTTGTGCGTCGGAGTCTACTTACCTTGCTGCTACTTGCTTTACTCCTCAACGTCCTATTTCTGAGGTCTTCCCAGCCCGGAGCGATCCTTTGTTGAATAAACACATCCAGGATTGACTGGGTGGGCCCAAAATACAAAGGCCAAGTGTCCTTAGAGAAAAGAAAAAGAGAGATTTGAGACAGAATGAGAAGAGGCTGCGGGAAGACAAGGCGGAGACTGGAGTGACATGGTCACAATCCGGGCAAGGCCGGGAGCCACTGGAAGCTGGAAAAAATCTTCCCAGATTCAGAGGGAGCGCAGCCCTGCCACACCTTGAGTTTGAACTTCCGGCCACCAGAACCATGAGGGAATAAATGACTGTTTTCTAAGTGGCCGAGTTTGCGGTCATTTGTTATAGAGATCCTGGAAATTGATACGAGGGGTATGCGACGTGGGTTTTCTGCTAGGTTGTTTTTCTTTTGTCTTACTGATTTTCAGGGTTTATCGATATGTTCACAACGGTAATCCTTTGCCAAGTCTCTCTCTTTTTTTTTTTAAGTTAATAAACTTTATTTTCTAGAGCAATTTTAGGTTCACGCAAAATTGAGCAGAAAGTACAGAAATTTTCCGTATACCTCTTGTCTCCCTACCCCCACCCCTCCCCACAGGGGACAACCCCACAATTAACGCCCCCCCGCCACCAGATGGTACATTCGTTACAGATGAACCTGCACTGACACGTCATCATCAGCCGAAGTCCCCAGTTCACGTGATGGTTCACGCTTAGCATTGTACGTTCTATGCGTTTGAACCAATATGGAATGACACGTATCCACCATCGTAATGTCATACAGAGTACGTTCACTGCCCTAAACTTCCTCTGAGCTCTGCCTATCTATCCCTCCCCCTCCCAAAGCCCTGGCAACCACTAATTTTTTGTGTGTTTGTTTTCAGAGTTTGGCCTTTCCCAGAGTCCCATAGAGCTGGGACCATACCACATGTGGCGTTTTCGCGCTGGCTTCTTTCATGGAGTAACACGTACTTAAGTTTCTTTCTTTTCTTTTCGTGTCTTGATAGCTTTTTTGTGGTGGTGGTTGTTTGTTTGTTTGTTTGTTTTTAGCACAATAAAATTCTGTCGTCTGAATGCATTACAGCTTATTTATCCATCACCTACCGAAGGACGTCTTGGTGGCTTCCGAGTTTTGGCCATTATGAAGAACGCTGCTATTGACATCCATGTGCGGGTTTCTGTGTGGACATCAGTTTTCGGTGTCTTCGGTTGAATACCCAGGAGCACGATTTCTGGATCACACGGTAAGAGCACGTTTAGTTTTGTAAGACGCCGCCTCACCGTCTTCCAAAGCGGCCGTGTCATCTTGTGTTCCCGTCAGCAGGGACGAGAGGCCCCTTTTGCTCCACCGTCCCCAGCGTTTGGTGGCGTCGCTGTCCTGGGTTTTGGCCTTTGCAATAGGCGTGTAACGGTATCTCATCGTGTTAATTTGCGTGTCCC